TCATTCAGATATCAACAAAGCTCCGGGTCCGGATGGTCTAAACTTAGGATTTTTAAGAAGTTCTGGCCTAATTTGAAGGATGATATGATGAGGTTTTTTAGGGATTTCTACGTGGGAAAGGTTTGGGAGCGGAGGTTAACTTCTCCTTCATTTCTCTTATTCCAAAGAAGGCAAATCCGGAGGGATTGGAAGAGTTTAGGCCAATTAGCCTAGTGGGAGGGCTTTATAAAGTCATCTCTAAGGTCTTAGCTAGAAGATTGAGTTTGTATCTCAACGATATTATAAGTCAGTCCCAATTCGCTTTTATTCCGGGGAGGAATATCTTGGATTGCTCTTTCATTGCAAATGAGAGTATTGATTTTGGAGGAAGAGAGGGCTGAAGGGAGTAGTTTTCAAGGTGGATTTTATGAGAGCTTATGATTCGGTAGATTGGAAAATTTTGATTCAGATTATGAGTAAAATGGGGTTTGGAGAAAAGTGGAGGTCGTGGATGTTCCAGTGCATTTCAACTGCTGAGATTTCGGTCTTGTTAATGGATCGCCAACGGAGAAATTTCATATAGCCAGAGGTTTAAGACAGGGCTGTTCACTTTCACCTATGCTTTTCAATTTGGCTACGGAATTGTTGCATTTACTGTTATCTAAAGCAGTAGATATGGGATTGTTTTCGGGGTTCGAGTTAGGACTGCAGGACCGAGCATTCAAGTTGTCACACCTTCAATTTGCGGATGATCTTATAATTTTCAGCAAAGGTTCCATTCGTGAGTTGAGGAATATTAGAAGAGTGTTACTGATTTATGAACTTCTGGTGGGGCTGAAGTTAAATCTAGGTAAAAGCAGGATTTTTGGAATCAATGTTGAAGAAGGGGAGCTAACTAATTGGGCTGAAGTTATTGGCTGCTCGGTTGGATATCTTCCATCTGAATATTTAGGTCTGCCTCTGGGGTACAAGAGGAATTCGACTGCTATGTGGGATCCGATAGTGGCGAGATTTAACGCTAAATTGACTGGTTGGATAGCTAATTCTCTATCGGTAGCGGGAAGAGTGGTTTTGGTCAAATCGGTACTATGCTCTCTTCCGGTCTATTTTATGTCTATGTTCAGAATCCCAGCTACGGTGATACTCAAACTTAACTCTATTATGGCTTCATTTCTGTGGGGGGATACGATTGATAAGAAGAAAATCCATTGGGTCAATTGGAAGTCGATCTCTAAACCAAGATTTATGGGGGGTCTAGGGGTCCCTAATCTAGCACTTTTGAACCGAGCTTATTAGGAAAATGGGTTTGGAAGTTTACTTCTGAAAAGAATTCTTGGTGGAAGAAAGTGATTTGTGCCGCCTACAATTTGGATCCCAAATCTATTATTTTGGAGAATTCGGTGCCAGCTCGTGCATCGTGGATTTGGAAAGGTGTGGTGAAAAACTTTTTCAATAGTGATGATTTTGGAGAATGTCTTAAAAGGAATATGCGATTGAAGGCGGGGAAAGGGGAAGATGTGCAGTTTTGGAATGATGTATGGTTGGGTGATGTTCCCCTCAAATCATTGTTTCCTAGACTTTATGTTCTCTCAATTAATAAATCGGGTAAAGTGAAAGAGTTTAGGGAACAGAATGCTTCGGGTTGGGTGTGGGACATCCAAATGAGAAGGAATTTGGCTGATTGGGAAGTAGAACAGTGGATGCAATTGATTTCTATGTTGAATAATACCTCTCCTTTTCCCAGTGCAGATGATTGTTGGATTTGGTTAGGGAATGGTGAAGGAAATTTTACAGCTAAATCTTGTATAAAAGCTTTTTATGTACAACGGGACTCTGAGCAAAATCAAGTGAATTGGGATAAGATTATTTGGTCTGGTTTAGCTCCTCCAAGGGTGGAATTGTTTGTCTGGCAGCTAGTACAACATAGAGTACCGGTTAAAGAGGAGTTAGTTAAGAGAGGTGTTGCAGAGATTGTTGACCAACGTTGTGTTCTGTGTGGTAGGGAGGTGGAATCAGTTTCTCATCTGTTTCTGCATTGTAGGGTTGTGTGGGGTCTGTGGTCCTCCTTCTTGAAAATGTGGGATGTGTCATTGGTGACTCCAAAGTGTACAATGGAATTTCTAATTTTGTGGGACGATTTAATGACTAACTCTTTGATTTGGAGATTCATTCCTAGGGCAGTGATGTGGTCAGTATGGAAGTGTAGAAATGAGATTATCTTTCAGAAAGGCAAGCTGGATTTGGTCAGATTATCTTTCATTGTTAGATTCAGAGTGGCTTCCTGGTTCAGTGCTCATTTCAAGGATGCGGGTATTCCTCTAGATTCTCTAGTAGGTGACTTGAAAATTGCTGACTCGATTGGTAGATCAAGAACGGTTTGCTCTCAACCTGCTTGCTGGGTTCCTCCACCGGAGGGGTTCCTAAAGTTAAATGTTGATGGAGCGATGGTTTCGGGGTGGGAAAAAGGAGGTATTGGTGGTCTGTTTCGAGATAGCAGAGGTCAATTGCTTCAGTGGTTTTCTGAAGCAGTAGGGGGTGGTCCTCCTATTTTGGCTGAACTGTTGGCTATCAAAAGAGGGATTTGTCTTATGGAGGAGTTGGATTTTGTCGCAAATCAAAGAGTTATCTTGGAATCAGACTCGTCTAACGCTCTGAAGTGGATTCAGAATCCGGGTTTAACCCCTCATTTGCATCTATCCTTGGTGAAGGATATAATTTCACTTTTGATTGGAAAGGATATTATGTTTAGGCATACTTCAAGGGCGGCAAACTGGGAAGCTGATAAACTTGCTAAAGATGGGATAGGGTGATTTTGGTTATAGTTGTGTTGTTTAACAGGAATTGTTCCTCCCTGTTTTGTTGAATGTCTGTGTTAAGTTTTATGTTCTTCCGTTGGAAGTGTAGGAGTTTGTTCAAGCTTGTAATCTGGTTATTATGAATAAAAAGTTTTCTTGGCTCTCTTTTCCTCCTTCGTTGTTCCTTCATGTTACTCTCATAACATGGAGGGATTGAAGGAGGATTTTAATGGGGCCTTTCTATCAAAAAAAAAAGAGACATAGCATTCACGCAAAGCAAGAAATTAAGACAACACGAGTAGACAATTGTAACAGAGGCAAAGAGTGAGCATTTGTGAAGCAAGGAAGTAATGGAGAGTGAAATTTTAAACTACGATGACAGGTTTTGGACTTTGGGCTGCTGAAAAAGGAAAAGTTTACCGGACTCACCATGCATAGAAGTAAAGCAATGATTAGGGTGACTAAAACTAGACTCGATTCAAAAAAACTGAATCTTTTGATTCGACTTAACTTGTAATTTCATAAATTCAACTCGACTAAAAAAATAAATAAATTTTACCTATAAAAAAGAACTCGAATAACTCAATTTTTTTTGTAATTAATAGATTTGTTTTCAAGTTGAGTCCAGTACCTCAACTCTATATGATGGATGTATATCACATATGAACAAAATATGAATAAAAATATATGTATATTGTTATAGAAACTTGTTTAAATTAGAATCAATTAATACCATAGTTCTATAACATTATAAATATTTACAATTAAATTAAAACAGAAACTTGATCAACTCGACTCAAATTTCAGAAACTTGACTCGGAAAAATTTCAAACAAAATTTGAGTGATAAAATAAAACTCATCGGATCAACTAACTCGAATTTTTTTTTTACTCAACTTCACCATTGGTATTATGAAGTAGCTATATTGACAAAGCACCCCAATGGTAGATATGTAGTATAAAGTAAGCTACAGAAAGAGACAACCTGAATAAAGGAAGGCGGAATGTAAAAAAAAGGTGGGGGGAGGTTGACAAGCCCTAAATTCGGCTTCCATCATCTCATTTTTGCCCGATTCCTTCTTTAAAAAATGATATGAAGGAATAGAACTAAAAAGACTCCTAAATTTTTAGGCTAATTCCTTGATAGAACCCCAATGATAATAAGAAAATGGAGGCGGAAATCAATAAGCAGAGAAAAGAGGGGGCATACCATGTGAGGATACTTGTCTTGATCGACAACCCTAGTGTTCTCGAGCTTGATATTGAGGTATTGATCGACGGAGTGAAGGGTTCCTCTAATTGCTAAATCATTCTTCAACTCAACCGTCACTTCTCTTCCCACTAAGTCCTTGAAATACGAAAAGAACAACTGCAATCCCGCAACGATGCAAGAAGCGAAAAGGAATTTAGAGCAAAGCCCATAGGATTAGGGCAAATAGCTATAAACTCCATTGAATTTTAAAAAATTAAAGAAGATTTTGCCCGCAAGGAAAAAAATACTTATACGAAAAAGAGGAAAATAAAAGAAGATTTACCATGATTTTGATCCCTCTAACCAAAAGAAGATAGAGTTTTCTGGGTTTTGTGGCGATGAGGATTTGATAACTGAACTGAGGTGTATAACTGAGTTGCATATGAAATCCACTGAATACATAAAAATCCGTTAATTACGGATGTAACCTCATCTTTCACACCGGAATATGAGGTTTTTCCGGCATTTTCTTAGTGGTTAAATTTTTCAGTTAGTACACGTGCTATGTATAAATTGTGTATTCAGACCTTATACTTTTAATTAATGAATATAATTCTTTTATTTTTTTTTTCAAAATTTAAAATTTTAACCATGACTCAAATAGTATATAAATAATATAATTAAATTGCAGGAACATAAAATGGTCAAATTATATAATAAAATTAAATTTATAATTTATGAATAATCTAATGATTATTAATAAATTTGAATTAACAATTTTACTAACTTTCATCTTGAATCAAGAGCAAAATTTCGAAATTTAAAAAGCATGACAATTAAAGATAATCAAATAATATATTAAGCATAAAAATTATAATAAGGCATACTTAAAAATGTCAAAAGGTAAGAAATGAATAAGCTTCAATTCTGGAAACACTTCACTTTCCCAATAAAAGGCAAACATAGAGGCACCAAATGAGAATTGCATTTCCATGGAAAGCTTATACAACTGGGAACTTTTTTTCCCTAATACTAGAGAAATTATACTTATTTTTTATAAAAAAAAAGGATTCTGTTATTCAAATTTAACTACAAAAGTTGCTACTATTATAACCGTTGCTTCACTCGCCTACCATCAACATCACTTCCATCGAGGATGGCTTCATTCTCATGTCTGCATACTACCACTGGGTGTACATTTACTCTACCTACATATTCCAATAGTTCACTCAAGATGGACGGGCAACTTTCTTTCAAGTACTCAAAGCCATCAGTTTGCATTACAGCTGCAAATGAATAAATGAACCACAGGTTCAGTCAAGAAACATTGTTAGAAAAGAGGAAATAAGAAACACGTAGACTACAATTGCAGCAAACCCTTATATGATGCAATTGCGCTACATGGAACTTCAAGGTGAGACTGGTTTTGACTGCATTTAGCAGTGGCATTTGCGATCCATGTATTACTGTAGGAATTATAGAGATGATTTGTTATCATTCCTATAGAGATATGATTTGTTACCATTCCTATAGAGATATGATTTGTTGCCATTCCTATAGAAATATGATTTTGTAAATAGATTTCTACAATCTCTTATTTTAAGGGATCATATCCTAAGATTATTATTTTTCCTTTCTTAGAGTTTCCTACTTTAGAGAGATATTTTGTATATAAATATGTAATCTGTCATATTGAAAAGAATAAGAAATTACAAAGAATTACTCTGATTTCTACATGGTATCAGCTTAGGTTACGGTTTCTTTCCAACCTAGATGATGTCCACAACTTCTTCTCCTACTCCGGAGATCACTTCAAATTCAAAAAAAAATTCTGGTTCTGCTGCTCAATCAGAAGGTAATCTAATCTGGTCATGAAAGAACCAGAAAGTAAATCTCATGCTACAGTTTTTTTCTCCTCCCAATCGTCTCCTAATTGGATCCTCGATTCTGGTGCTACGGATCATATGACTGGTAATAAGAATTTGTTTTGCAATTTTTTTCCAAACTTTGGTAAAGTTGTCAAAACGGCTGATGGTTCTTTGTGCAAAATAGAAGGACATGGCACTGTTATTCTCAATGACCACATTGTACTTAAAAATGTCCTCTTCGTACCAAATCTAGCTTGCAATCTCGTTTCCGTTAGTAAACTTTCCACCGACTTGCACTGCTCTGCAATTTTTAATGATATTGATTGTACTTTGCAGGCACTGAACTAGAAGAAGATGATTGGTAAGGCCAGCTTGCAGAATGGTCTCTACATTCTTCCTGCCTCTACTAAAACCGAAATCTCGAAATCTTTCACCGTTTTAGAAAAAGTTGATAATGTTATGTTATGGCACTATCGTTTAGGTCATCCTAGTTTTCACTATCTTGCAAAAGTTTTTCCTGCTCTATTTATTCATAAAAGGCCAAATTCTTTTTCTTGCAAAGTTTGCTCTCTTGCCAAACATACTAAATCAACTTATTATCCTTCTACATATAAGCCTTCTCACCCTTTTGCTTTGTTCCACAGTGATATTTGGGGTCCTTCTCGGGTGAAGAATGCTGATAATTGTAAGTGGTTTATCACTTTCATTGATGATCACAGTAGGATAACTTGGACTTATTTGCTAAAAGATAAATCTGAAACTGCAGGTGTTTTTACCCAATTTTATAACATGGTTCTCACTCAATTTGGGTCTAAAATTCAGCTCTTTAAATCTGATAATGGCAGTGAATTTTTTGCTAAGTCTTTGGGTGCGTTTTTTAGGGAAAAGGGCATAGTTCAGATTAGTTCTTGTGTTAACACCCCACAACAAAACGGTATTGCCGAAAGAAAAAATAGACACCTCCTTGAAGTCACTCGTTCTCTTCTATTTACCACTAATGTTCCAAAATATTTGTGGGGGGAAGCCTTATTAACTGCCACATATTTAATAAATCGAATGCCTAGTAAGTTTTTACAATTTCAAACACCTCAATCTATATTTTTGCAATACTTTCCCTATTTTAAACCTATCTCATCCATTCTTCCACTTAAAATATTTGGTTGTACTGCTTTTATCCAAAACATTGCTCCTAATTAGTCCAAGTTAGATCCTAAATCATTAAAGTGTGTACTGGTTGGGTATTCTTCACTTAAGAAAGGTTATAAATGCTATCATCCTCCTTCAAAACGATTTTTTACCACTATGTATATAACATTTTATGAGCAGGATCCCTATTTCACTCAGGCTGAAATTCAGGGGGAGACATGGAAGGATTTTTAGTCACCTCAGGTATCTCCTCCTACTCTTCATTCTCAACCTTCAGAATTGCCACCAATTTTGTCCTTACCTACAGATTTGTCACTTGTAACTACTCTCATTGATCCACCGGTAGTACCTATCACTACTTCACCCATACCCACTTTAAATACCCTTCTTGAAAATACACCTACTCCCATTCAAAATATTCCACAAACAACACCAATCAAACAGCTCCGTTTCTATACAAGAAAAAGAAAACATATTCCTGAGGTGTTTTGCAATCTGATGCTTGCCGAGAATTGGATTTGGGTCCAGCTGCCGAAATAGAAGAAGAAATCAGTAAGTCCACTTCCCCTTACTCTAGGTGACTTCCCTATTGCTATTAGAAAAGAGGTTAGACAGTGCACCAAGCATCCTATTGAAAAATTTACTGGTTATAATTCATTGATGCCGTCTTTTCAAGCATTTACAGCAAACTTGGATAAAGAACAGGTTCCCACATGCATAGCTGAAGCTCTAAAGAATTCAAAATGGAGAAGGGCTGTTGAAGAGGAAATTTGTGCACTTGAGAAAAATGCTAATTAGACTGTTACGGACCTTCCTCAAGGAAAAAAGGTTGTTGGCTGTAAATGGATCTTTACTGTAAAGTATAACTCAAATGGTAGCATCCAACGATACAAAGCGAGACTAGTGGCCAGAGGATTTACACAAACATATGGGATAGATTTCACAGAAACTTTTGCACCTGTGGTGAAGCTGAATATTGTTCGAGTACTCCTAAGTTTGGCTGTAAATTGCGATTGGAAGTTACACCAACTTGATGTAAAAAAACGCTTTTCTTAATGGCAAGCTAGAAGAAGAAGTCTATATGAAGTTGCCACCTGGCTTAAAGTCTGTTGAAGGAAGTAACAAGGTGTGCAAGCTCAACAAGTCTTTATACGGGTTAAAACAATCACCCATAGCTTGGTTCGAGAGGTTCACTAAAGTCATCCTAAAAAACGGCTACAAGCAATCCCTCGCTGATCACACTCTTTTCATCAAGGTAACTTCTACAAATAAGAAAGCTATCCTTATTGTGTACGTGGATGACATAATTCTTACTGGAGATGATGAAGAAGAGATTTGCAATTTGAAGAAGTTGTTAAATAAGGAATTCGAAACTAAGGACTTGGGAAAGCTAAAGTATTTCCTAGGAATGGAGGTGGCAAGATCAAAAGAAAGACTTGTGATCAACCAAAGAAAATATGTACTTGATTTACTCAAAGAAACTGGTTTTCTTGGTTGTAAGCCGATTGATACACCAATGGAGGCAAGCTTGAAATTTAACAAAGAAGATGGGTCCATGGTAGACAAAGAGAAATTTCAAAGATTAGTTGGGAAACTAATATATTTATCCTTGACAAGGCCAGATATAGCATTTCATGTAAATGTGATAAGTCAACACATGATTAATCCTACTGAAGAGCATATGGCAGCAGCAAATAGAATTCTCAAGTACTTGAAGAAAACTCCAGGACACGGTTTAATGTTTAAGAAGACACAAGACAGAACTGTTAAGATCTTTACAGATTCTAGTTGGGCCGGAGACCTTACTGAAAGGAGATCCACTAGTGGCTACTGCACCTTTGTTTGGGGAAACCTTACAACTTGGAGAAGTAAGAAACAATATGTCGTTTCAAGAAGTAGTGTTGAAGCTGAATTTAGAGCACTAGCATTGGGAATATGCGAAGGAATTTGGCTACTTAAACTACTGAAAGAACTTATCACTAATCAAGAGGATCACTTTGAAGTTTTGTGTGATAATCAATCTGCTATTCAAATTGCCAAGAACCCAGTTCAACATGATCTGACAAAGCATGTTGAGATTGATAGGCATTTTATTGCTGATCAAGTTAACAAAAAGACAGCCACACTTTCATACATTCCTTTAGAAGAACAAGTTGCAGACATTCTTACTAAGGCTTTGCCAAAGCCTGTTTTCAATAAATTCCTATTCAAGCTGGGATTATACAATGTATATTCTCCAGCTTGAGGGGGAGTGTAGGAATTATAGAGATGATTTGTTACCATTCCTATAGAGATATGATTTGTTACCATTCCTATAGAGATATGATTTGTTGCCATTCCTATAGAGATATGATTTTGTAAATAGATTTCTACAATCTCTTATTTTAAGGGATCATATCCTAGGATTATTATTTTTCTTTTCTTAGAGTTTCCTACTTTAGAGGGATATTTTGTATATAAATATGTAATCTGTCATATTGAAAAGAATAAGAAATTATAGAGAATTACTCTGATTTCTACAATTACAGTAAGATCTATCTTAATAAATGTCGAACCTATAGACTTTCCAACCACTCTGTAAGGCTGAAAAACAAGAGTCCAGGCTAAAGGAGCTATAAGATGATTTGCTAGGCTACAATCTAAAAAGTAAAAACAATTCTCACCAATTTGGTTGCAGTCCCTGATTTCAATGATTATCAATATAAGAAACAAAGAACCTTGGTCCAACTGATAATTGGCATAATCAATTACATTTTTATGACTAAACTGATACTTTATACTTATACCAGATCCTGATGCAACATCAATGTAAATATCAAAACAAAATGAGACTCACCCCTTAGATTTTCTTGCTTTGCTACAAACTTGAGACACACAGCTTTAAGCGGGAAACAATGGTGTTGCTCAGCCAAGGCCAATGTAGTTGCTACAGTGTTAATGGCAACACCCTCACAAAGGTTAGCCTCACACATTAGTTGTAGCCTATCTAGCCCATACCGATCTGCGGCTGCAAGCAGATGCTGGAACATCAAAGTAGAGGCCCAATTTGAGTTGAGACCAGTGAGCTCTTCCATGTCAGGAAGAGAATCCCAGTATATAAAATGAAGAAGGGCCTGAAAAGTGCAAAATAGGACATAGAGACAATGCTTCATTATTCAGTATAACGATTGCATACTTATCAACACCCAATTTGCTTAATTGCTTCAGCTTGACAAATAAATTATAGACAACTAAAACTATGGTATGAATAACATTGTTTTCAGACACATAAAGAAAGGTCTGACGACAATGAAGTATCATAATAGAATAATACAAAGCAAATAGAAAAACAGGAGGAAGTGCATTGAACCTTAAAAACAAGAGCTTCCATATCTTGAACTTCTATACGTTTTGTATTATGATCTTTCATTGGACCAAATAGTTGAGCCCTAAACACAGGCGAACGAGCAGCAAGTACCAACTTGTGGGCTGGAAAGATTTCCCCGTCAACTTCAAAGGTTACATCAGTTCCCCTACCACTTTCTAGAAGTTGTCCAAATTGATGACCAATGTTTGAAGGCGGAACAGCTATGGAATAAATCTTAGGACCCTCTGTATGTGACTTAACGACGCCAACACTACAGTGAACGGAAAGACAATCATCCTTGAGGTAGTCTGATTGTTCCAGTAGAGTTCTTTTGAAGAATCGGTTATATCCCCTGGAATCAAATCAAAATATTGCTTCAATGCTCACCAGAAGTTTTGAAATGGGAAGCGAAACAAACAAACTAATCCATGTAGACAAACAATCAAACTGGCGGCATCATGCAAAATGTTAAAAAAAAACCCTTAAACATTAGCCTAAAAGAATTCAATTGTTGGTAACAGTATTTAATAAAAAGTAACTCGTACACATGCAACGCTCAAAATAGCAAACCAGACATATTACCAAAAAAAATGATTTCTTTACTTCTGCAGCGTAAACAAACAACCTCTCCTCAAAACCATAAACTTAATTTTGAAATATTTACATATCTTTCAAATTAAGAATACATATGATAGAATCTCGATGAGGCAAGCAGAATGACAGAAAGACCAACATAATACGACTAATAAAGACTTCAAATCTAATACTAGCAGTGAAGGTTAAAGTCACCAGGAACTTAGCTAGAGAACAAATAATGGACAAAGCATAACGCAATAGACTAGTAACAAATTTTAGCATAATTCTTGCAACATTATGTTCAGACAGCCACAGCTTCTTTTGATGTCAAACAGTATTGACACCAAAGAGAAGCTCATTCCTCAAATTCTCCAGCAGTTCCCTATGAACCAATACAAAGCTCAAAAAATGAAGTAGAAAAAACCCACGATCCACCCTTTGTGAACCTGGGAATTACAAACTACAAACAAGAAACACAAACTAATCCAAGGTGCAGTTCTTACTGGGTAGCAACTCCATAAAAGATTACAAAGAACAAGAAACAACCGAGATTAACACATCAAACCCTCAAAACCAACCAAAAATTCAATCAATCAAAAAGGTAATTCACAAATTGTGAGACGACAAAACTACCACCATATGTTGTTCAAGGAAAAAAAAGTCGAAGATCAATCCAATAAGAAAATAAAATTTACCACATGCTGCCGCGATACTTAAGCGTATAGGGCCCACTTTCAAGCATCCTCCCAAAATGGCTATGCACCTTATGCCTCTCTTTGCCGCTTTGATCCAAAAGTGTGAGCTCAAATAGAGCCCTAACATCGGTCCCCTCGCTCGCCAAAGCAATAAACAATGAAATGTAGACGGCATTGTCTTCGGGGCTCTTCCCATCGGGATAAAAATAGACCGCCCACAAAAATCCACCCACCATAAACGTGTCTGAAGTTATGTATTTGCCAATCCCCGAACCTTTTGACAGCGAATATCCCGTAATCTTAAACTGATGTGACCCGTTCACCGTCTCTGTCACTGACGTAGACACCGTGGTGTCGCTTACGGAGGAGGACGAAGACGGCGTCGACGTACCCCGTAGAACACTCCCCATATTACCCACAAGAAATTAGTAGTAATCTCCCGAACCTGAAGTTGTAGCTTAATTTATTTTCTTTTTATGTTATTATGAGGAAGAATTTATAGGGTTTCAGAGATGGAGAATAAGGAGAGACGAGAATACTAAAAGAAGATGGTGACTGTATTGCTATGCGTGAATTGTGATTGTTATGAATTTAGCAAGGAACTTATATAGGAGTTTTTTATTTGATACTTAATAAATAATCAAAAGTTTATTCATTAATTTTTTTTTCATTCAATTAATGAAAAAAACATTAATCAATTTTAATTAATATTTTTTTTCATGTTTGCTTGGTAGGTTTATTCGATAAATGGAGAAATATTAGAATGTAATGATATTTTTAAAAAATTTAAAATTTTATATAATTTAAAAATTTATATTTTATTTAATTTTATATTTCATTATATTTTATAATTCCATACTTCCAAAAATTTAACATAACTTTCTAAGTTAACAATTTTGATATAAAATTTTAAATTTGTTCTTAATTGTATCAAAAATAATTATAAAGCATAATTATTATTAATCCCTAGGAACTTATGTTTTGAAATGCAAATTACTACTTTAATTAATTTATATTGTAGAGAGAATATTGGAAATTTCATAGAGCCTAATTCGTTCACTAAAGAAGATCTAAGATATACTATTAATACCAGCCCAACTCTTTGACGTTAGTTATCTTTTTATTCTACAAATTCTTTGCAATACTTCAAATTTTGACTATTGACTAAAATGTAAGCGTTGAAAGTTTAGTAACTAAAGTATAAACTTTATAAAAGTTTAGAGACCAAAAATATAATTTTTTAAAAGTTGTATATTTTTTACCATAAATGAAGAGTTTATTCTGAAATTAACGTTTTCGTAGGATCAAAATTTTAATTCGGGATTTTTATTAAAAGCTATAAAGTAGTAAAGTCCGATGAAGATTCGAATAATCCGATTAAACCGGAATTTCAATAAAATTTGAAGGATAATAAAAAAATGTTAGAAATATTATTTCCATAATTTAGAACGGTGAAATTTAACATGTATCAGTGGAATTAAGGTCGATTTTCTTGATCTAGTGAAAACGTTAATTTCAGAATAAATTATTCATTTACCGACTAAAATATATAATTTTTTTAAAAATTTACATTTTTGGTCCTTGAACTTTTACAAAATTTATACTTTGACTACTAAATTTTCAAAACTTACATTTTGATCACTAGTCAAAATTTGGGTATTGTACACCTACTATTTCTATATTATTCTAGACTATTTTTAACATAGGTATAATAAATGATACTTATAGATCTCCCTATAATTTGCATTGTTTTTTAATAGAGAAGATTTCTGAAAAGTAAACAATAAACAAATACGCATAAAAGAATGAGATAATTGTAATAATTTTTTGAATAATATAGAGCGATTACATAGTAATATTTTTTATAGTCTCTTTAGTTATTGTAACGTATACACATGATGTAGTTGACTCTAAAATTAATAATATTATTTTTTACCACTAAAATTGCTTTTTGTGTTTGTGATAAATATTATTATTATTATTATTAAAATAATAAAAATATAATATAATATATATTAAATTATTATATTATAATTAAAATAAATCTATATAATATTTGAAAATTAATTTATTAATAAAAATAATTTAAATATTATATAAAATATTTTTATGAAAATATATTAAAATATTATATATATATATATATATATATTAAAATTAGATTCACAAGTAAATTATAAAAGGAATAATTTATGCGTACAATTTTACATGCTTTGACCGAAGACTTGGATCGTTGGGCATATTTATTTTGATTTAATGGGGTTCTTGAAATCCTACACCTAAATCCATAAAAACAACGTTCAGAAAATAAATTTGTTAGTTCGATATTGAATGTGCTTCTATATGATCGTCTCAGCAATGGATGTTGACTAATGATCGTCTCAGCAATGGATGTTGACTACTTTATGTAAACGAATAAATATGTATAGATAAAAACATACGTTTAGTCACTCAATTTTATCTTTTTTATATTTTGGTCGTTCAACTTTATAAAATTATGGTTTTTCACCAAACTTTTGGAATTTGGTTCTTTTTTGTCATACCATTGTTAGTTGTGTAAAGACATAGTTTTGGGTATTTTTGTTTATAAAATTAACCTAGTTCATATGTTACTTCGTCTCCAATTTATACAAAGCATATAGCTTATAAAATCATTCCTATTATTATATAAAGGCATACACATATTTTATATTAGAGGGATAAATTTATAAAATTTTAGGAGGTTAAAATAGATTATTAATAAAAAAATATAAAAAAAACTTAAAATATATGAAAATTTGAATTTTTCATAACGTCTTCTCTCACCAATTCATTAGGTCCATCCCCGTTAATACCCCTCTCCACAAAATTTATATTGCTTGTACACAGGATGAAAGCATAAATTTATGTCGGGGTGTGAACTTAAAAAGCTATATTAAAAATGGGGGAAATTACAAATTTCATCATTGAACTTTATTCTCTCTCATGTTTTGCTTATTGAACTTTAAAAGTTTTCAATTTTCTCACTGAACTTAATATATTATTTTTTTATCAATGAACTTTACTCGCTCTCCTATTTTGGCCACTCAGCCGTTAAATAGTTAATGACGTTGAAAATGACTCCGTTTTTAAAAAATAAATTTTTCATCAAAACAACGTCGTTTTGCATCTATATAACAACTCATTTTAACGTCTTTAACTATTTAACGACTGAGTGACCAACAAAACTCAATGTATTAAGTGAGGAAATTGACAAGATTTAAAGTGCAGTGAGTGAAATAGGAGAGAGAGCAACGTTCAGTTAACAAATTTTTAATTTACTCTAAAGTTTTTGGAGTGTGAATTATAAAATTTTAAGGGTACAAAATTAAACAAAGAAAATTTTTAAAATGTAAGATAATTTAAAATTTCTAGTGGGTACGACCTCCCCTAACACCCACCAGTTCATCCCTGTTTGTATAGCTCTAACTATATCAATCTTAGTCTTATGAACACCTGGGAAATACTTGTAATTTCTTTCTTTCTAGATAAAGTAGACATATGCACATCAAGCAAGCTTAAGAATCAATAACTTTCCTTTTGTTGTTGATTCTATCCTCTACTCTCTTTATAAAATGTTTGCAATCAACTTCACTTGATTTTAAATCCAATCAATTCTCTAATGCCATCTAAGTCATCTTCATACCGAAAAGAACAAGTTCTATGAATTTGTAATTCTCTTTTATCACACATCATACACCCACAATATTTTAAATTTCTTCTTCTCTATAACCAAGATCCGTTTTCACCGACATTTGATCATTGTCGGTAGTTGTTTGCAATGCATCTATACTAAAACATTCTCTCTTTTCTATTTATTTTTTTCTTTTCAATTTAATTGTTTTTTATCGAAATCGATAAAATCAAAATCAAGATGTCTTTTATTGTTTTATAATGTCAACTGTCTAATTAATGTATAATCAAGATATATTATTTTTCTTTTCTTAATCGACCTCCCTACCGTTTGGGAACTCTCAAGTCTTCATTTATATAAAGTTGTCTAAAATTTCAGCCAGCTAATATCTTCTTCAACAATCGAACTTGATATAAGAGTAAAAATAATCATATAAAAATGGTAAAATAATATCGCACAACTCTATTTGAAAATTTTTAAAAATTATGGTTGTGAAATTATTTGTTAGATTTTAATATAGAGAAAATCGCCTCAGTGACCAAAAAAAAGTTATAATATACGATTTTAACCAACTTTTTTTGGATTTGCCAAAATGACCAACAAAATCGCAACGCGAAATAAAAATCGCAACGCGATCCCCAGAATCGCAAATCAGTGTCCAAAATCGCAACGCGATTCTTGAAAATCGCAATGCGATAGTCAAATTCGCATTGCGATTTTCCAAAATCGCAACGCGAATATGAAAATCGCAACGCGAACACATAAATCGCAATGCGTATCCGTAAATCGCAACGTGTATCCGTAAATCGCAACGCGTTTCCGTATATCGCAACGCGTATCCGTAAATCGCAACGATAATCCGTAAATCGCAACGAGAATCTGTAAATCGCAACGATAATACGTAAATCGCAACGAGAATCTGTAAATCACAACACTGAAATTTTGGGTATATAACACTGAAATCATAAACTAAATCCCTAAATCGCAACTCATTCCATCTCCATCTATCACTCTCTCCGGCGACATCCGTTCCTATATCCAACGACATCCTTCCCAATCCGGCAACAGGTTTTAGTTTCGCAGCTCGTCTGTTTAGTAAATTAATTTACAACCATGAAATCATCTAATGTTGATCATGTTTGGATAGATTTGTGTTTTGGAGGGTCATGGGATAATGTTCATGGTGTTTTACAATATATGCCTTTACCCATGAATCTTCAACTAAAATTGTCTTTACAAAAGTTAACTTATGAAACTCTAATGCTACGTGTTTCAAATAAATTGAATTTAGAGCCCCTAAGTGGATTTAGGCTATCTTATCAGAGAAATGGTAAAGTTTATTTGTTAACCGACAATGAAGATGTTGAACGATTCATTGCTTACATTAGGGTTTCACAAGATGATGTTACATTGTATGTTGTTGAACCTAGAAGTAGTATTGTTGGGTCAGTAGCGGGTAGTAATCAACTAAGTTTTTCTCAAAACCCACAACCTTTCTCTAATCCAAATCCCAATCAACTTTCAGCACCAAATTCCGGTTTTCGTATTGACCAGTTAGACGATGATGAGCCAACAGAAAAAATTGTGAGTACTAGTCAGTATTCGAAATTTGGTCTTGGTCAATATCCGGACTTTGATATTGGTCAATACACGGATTTTGATGATGTTTCAGAAGAAGAAACAGACCATGCGTGTAATGATATTGATATTGGTCAATACCCGAATTTTGATGATGAAACAGCCGTTGCCGAAGAATGTAATGTTGATGATAATGAGGAGGAAGTTACGACTGTGAATGAACATGTTGAACATCCATTCTGTAATTCATATAATCCTGAAGAAGAAAAAGAAGAAGAAAAAGTCCCCGAAGAAAAGAAAATGCCACGAGCATATAACTGGAATATGCCAGAATTACTTCAGATACCGGAAGAAGAGTTGATAAAGAAAGCAGTTGATTGTTACACAAAAGTTATTCGTATCAAGAAAGATGATTGTTTTGATACAAAGGAAGACTTGAAGATAGCTTTATATACGAAATGTGTGGAAGATGGCTATCAACTAAAAGTTAACAAATCAAGCAAAGATCGTTTCGAAACAAGGTGTATGATTGACAAAAACTGTACGTGGCGTATGATTGCAAAGAGAATAAAAGATTGCAAAATGTTTCAAGTTAGGACTTTTATTGATAAACATACATGTTCAAGAACCCAAGTTTTTCCTCACCATAGACAGGCAAACAAAAAGGTGTTGGGTGGTTTTCTGGCTGAGTTAATGTTTTTGAATGGCAGGGTATATCGGGGACATGAAATTATGACTGACATGAATGCTCGGTTCAAGATTAGTATATCATATTCTCAAGCTTGGAGAGCCAAATGTTATGCCTTGGAATTGTTGAGGGGGTCGCCAGAAGCATCGTTTGCCCAACTGCCGGCTTATTGTCACAATTTAAAGCTGAAAAATCCTGGGTCGGTAACTCATATCAAAACAGATAGAGATGGACGCTTTGAGTTGCTGTTTATCGCCATTGGTGCTACGGTTAGTAAATCAATATAATTTTGTTGACTCATTTTTGTTAGTTACATGCATTTCACATTTAAATGATTATTTCTTGTGTATATTATTTTGTAGATTCGTTCGTTTATTACTTGCATGCGCCCAGTTATTATAGTTGACGGAGCACATTTGAAAGGTCGATACCTTGGAGTAAACTTATTAGCAGTAGCCATGGATGCTAACAATGGGATATTGCCAATAGCTTACGGGGTTGGCAAATCTGAAACCTCTGATTCATGGATGGTTTATGGGGCATCTTAGGGATTGCATAGGTCCTATTAGCAATCTGACAATCATATCCGATAGGGCAAACTCAATTGACAACGCTGTTAGAAGGTGTTTCCCAGATGCTTTTCATGGACTTTGTGGTGTTCATTTGTATAGAAATCTAAAATCAAGGTCTGCTGGTATAAAAAAGCACAAATGGACATACTGGAAGGCTGTAAAAGCTTATCGGGAAGTGGATTTCAATAAGCATATAAATTGTTTAAGACGTGTTTTGCCTCAGTGTGCTCAAACACTAGAAGATGTCGGGTTTGAAAGATGGTCAAGAGTACATCAACTTGGAGCAAGATATGGTTTCATGACGTCTAATAGTGCAGAATCAATCAACGCTCTAAGTCGTCATTCCCGGAAATTACCCATTACTATGTTAATGGAGTTTTTTCGAGCCTCTATTCAACAGTGGTACTACAAGAAAAGAAACCATGCAGGTATTATTTCTTTGAATTCGTAACTTATCATATTATATATTTTACTAAGTATTGTTTATTTAAATTTACAGGAACATTGGAACATCGTGTTACACCATGGACTGAAAAAAAGATAACGAAACGTGTTGTGAAGTCAACGTCATGGAGAGTTGAACCATGTTCAAACACTTTGTTTCAAGTACTGGATAATAACTTAAATGGGCTAGTCGATCTAAATGCAAAGACGTGTAGTTGTATGAAATGGCAAACATCTGGTTATCCGTGTGGCCATGTTATAAAAGTTGCTCTTCATTTAAACCAAGATGATTCAAGCGCATACGCTATGGATTGCTACACTACAGAAGTTTATCGACAGACTTATGCCGAGATTGTCTACCCTATTCCACATCCTTCTGAGTGGGACATACCAGATGACTTACAAACAGTTTTGCCACCAGCCATGGACAGAAGGCTACCTGGCCGACCAAAAAGTCACGATCGTATACCGTCTAAGGGTGAAGAGAAGAAGAGATCGACATGTAGTCGGTGCAAGGAAAGTGGTCATACAAGGTTGACATGTGGATCACCAGTGCCATCAAAATCATCTTTTCCTCTACCAAAATATGGATCCTCATCAAAATCCAAAGCTCATATGGTGTCAAGCAAAAGGCAATCATCTTTAAAATCCCAATCACAATTGGCTTCACCTTTTGAGACTGTTAACTTAGGTGATTTTTAAATGCAAACGTTGTATTATGTGGATTTTATGTGTGAACTTTTAACATTTTCAGTTGAATTAATGACTCAGGCCAACCATTTTGACTTAACCAACTCTTGTTATTCAGTTGTTATCACTATTAGGCATGCATTTGACTATCGCAACACGGAAATTACAATCGCAACGCGAAATGAAAATCCCAACATGAAAATCGCAATGCGAAATGAAAATCGCAACGAGAGAATCGCAATGCGAAATGAAAATCGCAATGCGAAATGAAAATCGCAACGAGAGAATCGCAATGCGAAATGAAAATCGCAATGCGAAATGAAAATCGCAACGACAGAATCGCAATGCGAAATGAAAATCGCAATGCGAAATGAAAATCGCAATGCGAAATGAAAATCGCAATGCGAAATGAAAATCGCAACGAAAGAATCACAATGCGAAATGAAAATCGTAACGAGAGAATCGCAATGCGAAATTATAAACGCATTGCGATTTTCATTTCCGCATTGCGATTTTCATTTCGCATTGCGATTCTCTCGTTGCGATTTTCATTTCGCATTGCGATTTTCATTTCGCATTGCGATAGTCATTTTTGCCTTCAACATAATGCAGATTGAAATCAACAAAATCAACCATTACATTTCAATCAATTAAACAAGCACAAATAAGAATTATGTTCGCATCAATTACACAAATCAACTTTTACAAATCATCTTTTACAAATCAATTAAACAATCAAAAAATAAGCAATAATTCTTATTTCCGATCATCTACTATTGAATCAACTTTTACAAATCAATTAAACAATCAAAAAACAATCAATTAAACTATTGAATCAACTTTTGTAGCTCGACATCATTTTCACGCAGTTCACTTCTGAGATTAACCTGCAGAAACCAAACATTTGTTCAAACAACACTTTCTACACATCTAAAACCTACAAACAGCAAATTATTGAATTCTAGTTACTTAACCAAACATTTTCAAACCAAAAGTATATAAACTTACCAATTGTTTATGGACATTTTTATAACGCGGATGCAGGTAGGCAGCGTCTCGTATATATCGATTTAGCCATATAATGCCGAAACCAGGCTGACTTTATTTCTCAAGGTCAATTGAGCCGAAAAAAATTTCTACAAAAACAATAAACATACCAAGTTAGATATACCAAAAACTACACTGTGAAGATATACCAAAAACAATAAACATAAAAAGTAGTAGTTTATTCTTGAAACTAAAATTTGCAACACTGTTTTGTCTTTTGGTTGAAATGAAAATCGCAACGAGAGAATCGCAACGCGAAATGACAATCGCAACGAGAGAATCGCAACGCGAAATAAAAATCGCAATGCGATTTTGGTTTCTCGTTGCGATTTTCATTTCGCGTTGCGATTCTCTCGTTGCGATTGTCATTTCGCGTTGCGACAGTCATTCTCTCGTTGCGATTTTCATTTATCTCGTTGCAACTCTTCTGCAAATTGAAACTTGAATGGATTGCATTACTTCAACCAAAAGACAGAACAAAGACAAAGACAAATACTAACTTGAAAATCGCAACGAGAGAATAGCAACGCGAAATGAAAATCGCAACGAGAGAATCGTAACGCGAAATGAAATCTAAGTGAAATGGTTAATCTATTATTGAGATGACCAGTAAACTTATCATCAGTTTCAATATGAAAAACCTACAATAATGCAAACATTTCAAAATAAAAATAATTAAAAAACTAACCCTCGGAGGTTGATTTTCCATTTCTGAATATTGTGAGGGATTTCTGACCGTGAATGGTTGTGAGGGATTTCGCCGGAGATGGGGACGGAAATCTTCGGAGATGGGGACGGATTTCTTCGCCGTAGAGAGTGAGAGATGGAGATGGGACTGAGTTGTGATTTTAGGTTTTAGGTTATGAGTTACGATTACGGGATTTTGTCTTAATATTCGTTTTTGTAATTTGAAAATAAAATACGCGTAGCGATTATAATGGCGCTTTAAATATCGCGTTGCGATTTACGGATACGCGTTGCGATTTTATGTATTATCGTTGCGATTTACCGATACGCGTTGCGATATACGGATACGCATTGCGATTTACCCATACGCGTTGCGATTTACGGATACACGTTGCGATTTACGGATACGCATTGCGATTTATGTGTTCGCGTTGCGATTTTCATATTCGCGTTGCGATTTTGGAAAATCGCAATGCGAATTTGACTATCGCATTGCAATTTTCAAGAATCGCGTTGCGATTTTGGAAACTGATTTGCGATTCTGGGGATCGCGTTGCGATTTTTATTTCGCGTTGCGATTTTGTTGGTCATTTTGGCAAATCCAAAAAAAGTTGGTTAAAATCGTATATTATAACTTTTTTTTGGTCACTGAGGCGATTTTCTCTTTAATATATCATACGTACTTGTATTATTTTAAAATTTAAAATTATTTTTTAAAATGAATTATTTCACTATTTTTAATTTTAATGTTGGGTCAAATCTACCATTCAAACAACCTTAACATACAGTCAACCTCTGAAGCGGGTTTTGTGGTCCCCACCCAGATTTTTATAACGGTTCGGTTCCAGTGTACCGAACATCCCCACCAAAAAACCAATCGGACGGTCCAGAACGAAACCAAAGGTGTGTCCGGGAGACCTTGAAGAAATCAATAAAAGACAGCGACCATGTACGGGAGTGTGTGTTCCAGGGTGCCCAACCTGGAATCTCAAGGCATCGCTTGCGACAAATACCAAACCCAGAGAAACTTCTCTCAATCCTCACGAAATCGAGATTTTCAATCTTAACACACTTTCAATTCCGAATCACTTGTTACATCTAAAAACGGAAGTCGGGAGGGAAAATCCAGGATCTTGAGCTCTAATGTTGGATGAGTGTTTGGTTCTGTGTTAAGGGAAAAAAAGTTCAAAAAGGGAATTTTGGGAATTTAAAGAGCTGGGATTCTCTCCATAAAATAAATAAATTAAAAAGAAGAGAAATGATCAAGCTTTGCTTAATGGCTTCTAATGGGTGCCCTCCTGGTCCGGAACTTGTTCTTCACCGAGAACAAGGCGTCAGCAGGGTGATCAAGGCGAATTTTCTTTCGGGCTGTTTTCTTTTCTATTTTGTTTATTTGTTTAGTGATTATCAATCGTTTTAGCATGAACATTTTCAATTTAATTGGATTCATTCCTCTGTTCCTCGAAAAAGTCAAATCGATTTTTATTAGAATTTTTGAGCATGCATATATGTGTAAATTGTTATTGTTATAAATGGTCGATATTTGATCTTAATCATCAGAAATTTGCAGCTATTCCCTTCTTTTGCTACTAATGTTTTTTATGTATTAGCTTTATTCTTGTGAAAATTATAGTGCTACTTATTTGTTATTGAATATTTATTCTTTCCACAACCGCAGAAATGGCCATCCTCCTTGCCATGTAAAATAATGAAACCAGAGATGGCATCAACAAGTCCCTTTGATCTGAAGTGCAACGGAATCCAAGGGCAGCCGAAAACGGTTCCCCTACTTTGTGAGCCTAAACTGATCGTTCATGTTGATCCAAAAGCACAAACACCTGTGGTTATTGATAAACCAGGTCAGAAACTTGTTGCTTGTTTGTCGTATGGACTCGTTGTATCTTTTTCTATGTACTTAGGGAAAGACTTAAAATCAATTCTTGTTCTTAGAGTGTACATACATATATGCATAATTCTCTGAACACCATAAAGAGTGTGTGTTTATGTCATTAAGTTTCAGAAACTAACAATGTAATTAAAATTTTTGTTTCAACTTGGTCATATGTTGTTTATTGGAATTCAGATGTAAACTCAAATCTTTGGCATGATTCTCTTCTTGACATGATTGGAAAGAGCAAAGAGAAATGATGAAATAAGCTATAGCATAAATAGGAAAGGTGATTCTTGAAGGGATATAAAAGTGTTAGGAGTTAGATTAGTTGATTCCAATCAATAAAGTACTATAACAATTTTTTAGGGTGATATAGGCTAGGTATATGCATTTACCATATCAGTTCCTTTTATATTTCTGCTGAACACGTCTCCGGGAGTCATTGTCTAATGATTATCCCGACCCTGCTTTGTTTGCAGTTGCTTATCTAGACACATCACTCTTTAGCTGTGGGATAGCCGAGAAGTGCACGTTACATGAAAAATTCTTGAAGTTTCTTATGTCTGGACTAAAGGATGTGGACAGAGGGGAACTTTATTTATCTTTGCTATCCAATTTGATTCCACCATTGATATTTGGTGTGCATCAGCAGCCTTCTGCTTCTCTGATTTATCCAAGCAGCGCATTTGATGGCAAGGAGAAGCCTCTTCCGGGCTTTGTAGGAGAGATGATTTGTGATTCAAGACTTACAGTTAATTCAGATGGTCAAGTTGTATTTGCGGATAGTGGGACCGAGATAAAAGACATACTTTCAGTTGTTGCTGAATTTCACTTATCAAGCAACTCGACTAAATGGAGAATGCAGTCAGGATTGGTGCCATACTTCTACTGGTATGGATACTGATACTTAATCCCTCTTGCTTTAAATTGTTGCTAATAAGCACTACAGTCGATTTCACTGTTGTTCGAAAGACATGTGACCCCAAGGTCTTCTGATTAAACAGGAAACGGAGCAAAAAAGTGCATGCTAGTATGAACCTCTCACCACAGTTTGATCTTTCCAGTGTTGCACCTCCAAAAAGGTATGTGACTGATCATATGTTTCAAGAATGTTTCATTGTGTCCTTATGAATTCCCTTTCCATGGCCATTATTCTGCTTGTTAATATAAAGGAAACTGTTAACTTGAAATAATTGGAAATTATCTTATTTTGGGATCTTGGAATCTAGGCTAGAATTTCTCTGACAAAGGAATAATGACTTGTGAGATGCAGCTCTTCATTCATGTTAATTGCAACTCACTTTTCGGCAGTCCTGAGAAATTCATAAACATCTGCAAAAGCTATAGTTCCTGGTGCTTTCTTTCAACCGATTTTGTCTAAAATGTGTTTTTGTGCAACTCACTTTTTGGCAGTCCGGAGAAACTCAAGCTCAACCCATCGCGAAAAATGAAGACGTCCAAGAAGTTAAGCAGGGAGAGAAATCTCTACACAGCAAATTATTTCCATGCATGCGAGACCCTTCTTTCTTTGATGGTAAATAGGCGACGGACCGGCAAAACAGTAATTCTTTCCCTGAAAAAATCTGGCCCTGAACTTCCTCACCTCTTGGCCCAATTCTCTACCAGCATCGCCGGGACTGGTCTTGCTGTTCTTTTTTCTCTTCTCTGTGGGTTAGCTTACACGAGAGCTCCATTCTGTACATCTAAACTCTTTAGCACCAGCCTCGGGTTGGGGCTAGTTTGGCTCTCATGGGCAGTTAACAGACTAAGGGACACGATTGTACAAATGAGCAAGAATGGGAGCAAGTCGGGTCTGAATGAAAAAGAGATGATTAAGAGAGTCGAGAAGAGTGTTAACGACATTTACTTCAGGGCTGGAACGTTGATGGCTATAGCAATGCTAAGATTTGCATGAATTTGGAAGACAACTCATATTTCCACAACAAAACCTTAACATCTATGCTAATCCTTTATGGTCTTGTGATGATCTTGACCTCATATGAGGAGGACCTCCAGAGTGGAGAGGAAGGTACAAACTTGCATAAATTTAAACTATGATTTGTCGTTGCCGGAGCCTATGCTACTCGGAACAAATATAGTTGGGAGCAAAAACTTGAAAAGATTACTAGAACTGGTACTGGTCTTAAATATATTCTTCATGTGCTTACACAGAACTGCAGCCTTTTCAAGAGGACTGTTGTTTTTAAATATATTGAAAAGCTTCAGTTGTAATTTTTGGATGTAGAAGGAATAAAATACATGCTGTTTGCATATGTATACCTGAAAACGAATGAAAATAATTCAATCCTTAATATAAGCGAATGAGCGTTAAGGGCCACAATCCATGGGGTTGATACTTAGCATTATGAACCTGAGTATTACGCCATTCCATATATTCCATAAAAGGACAATAAATTCAGCGAATCTGACTATACCCAGAATAGGAGCGAAGGTTTCCAATCAATGCAAAGGAGATGTGCAAACGAAGGAGCCAACCAAACCAAGAAATCCCGCCAGCTCTAACGAGTCTTGTGCATACACATAATCTTTCAGCACATGGATGGTGGTCTCCTCTGCTACACGACACATAGGGTAAACCCCATCGCCTATGCCTGCTTCACGAAGACGTTTTTCCCACCAGAAGACCCTCATGTGCCACACACCATGCAAATACTCTCACCTTTGGAAGCACCTTTAATTTTGCAATAGCCTGCCAAACTTTTGAAACTAGTTCTACCGAATGCAAAGGTCGTTGTAACCAACAGTATCCCAATCGAACAGAATACGAGTCAGAGTCGTGGAATCCCCAAATTAGTTCCTCCTCTGTGCAAGGTGCAATGGTTGTTGCTAAAATCTTCTCAGCATCCTCAGTCATGAACACAGCTCGAACCCGTGACTCAAACCAGCTATTGCTAGTCGAATGCATAAAGAATGTCGCCTTAAACTGTTCTAGAGGGAAAGCAGTATAATCACTCGAAAGGATTACCCTACTTGTCCTACTCCATTGATCATGCACAAGGTTCACTTTGCTATCAATTCTAATGTGCCAAAAAAGAGCACCAAACATAGCTCGAAGTGCCTTATATATCCCTTTCTATGTATAAGAACTCGTAACTTCGTTTTTAGCATTAAAAATATCTGCGTTAGGGAAATATTTTGCTCGTAACACAAAATAGAGCAAACAATTATTATATCGAATAAGCCTCCACACCTGTTTACCTAATAGTGCCAAATTAAAGGATTGTAAGTCTCGTAAACCAAGTACTCCTAAGCGTTTCGGTTAACAAATCTTTGACCATGCAATAAGAGACCATCCTCTATCTGTGGTCTTTTTCGTCCATCAGTAATGTCGCATTACAACAGTCATGTCATTAAGCAACCACTCCAGAAGCATGTAACAAGACATAGCGTACTGAGGTAAAACATGTGCCATTGATTTAAGGAAAATCTCTTTACCTCTATAAGATAACCGTCGCTTTGTCCATCCTTCAACACGGTCAACCATTTTGGTTCGTAGATATCCAAAGGCGTCAATTTTGTTCTTCCCAATGTATAATGGTAAGCCCAAATAGAGACCGAGGGATGCAACCGACTGAATACCAAGTATGTTCGTTAACTGTCGGCGATGATCATCAATGGTCTTGGGGCTGAAATATATTATTGATTTATCCGAGTTCACATTTTGTCCAGAAGACTCAGCGTAGACTTGTAGAATTTCCTTAATGTGTCGCATCTGATATAGAATTCTGCATGAACACAAGCTATCATCTGCAAATAATAAATGTGACACAGGCGGTCCACCTCGGCAAGCACGAATGCCCTTGATCGTACCCTCTCTTTGCGCCTTGTGAAATAAAACCGATAAACCTTGAGTCACAAAAAGAAAAAGAAAAGGTGATAACGGATCGCATTGCCGAAGTCCCCTAGATAGGGTAAATTCCCTAGTGAGTGATCCATTAACGGTGAATATAACAGAGGTGACACATCGCATAATAGTGGCCACAAACTCACTATTAAAACCAAGTTTGGTCATGATTGCCTGGAGAAAACTCCATTCAACCCGGTCATAGCCTTCTTAATATCTAGTTTAAGTGTCGTGCCTTTATTTATGATATTATTTTATTTATTCTTTGTATTATATATTAGATAAAGTTTATAGTTTTGTAGTGAAAAGATAAAATATATGCAGTATTATTAAAATACATGTATTATTACGGCATTATTAATGATTTAATTTTAATTTTAAAATGATTTAATTTTAAAACATCGTGAATAGATAATTTAATTTTAAAATGACTTAATTTTAAAACAACGTTAATAAATAATTTAATTCATTCAAATTTAAGTAACTAATTTTAAACATAACTATTACGGTATTATTGATAATATATATTTAAAATTCATTTTTAAGAATTAAATAAAAACATTTTATCTATGTAATTTTATATTTTGGATAACTTAAAGTTTGTTTCGGTTTTGCGGTGTTGCGGCGTAATTTATAGCATGTCGCGGTGTTACATAACGGTTTTAGAACACAATAGTCGTGATGTGGTTTCCTTGTCACGTTACGCTAATATTATGTCGCAGTAACCTTCTAAACCGTTACTATACGGCCGTTACACTGTTGCTGCGGCAATTTAATTTAATATTATGTATTGAACCGATTCCAGCTCTTCTCCAAGGTGTTATAAAGCACCTGATCCAGTGGCAACTTATACCTGAATATAAGAAACCAAATGGTTGCATCATTAACTTCTTTGACGAGATAGACTTTTCCGCTGCTCTCTCGTTCCCTTTTTTCCGTCATTTGTTACAGCATGTATGCCATCATCTATTTAATTAAAATTGCAGGAATGACAGAATTGATATAGTTATGTTTCCCTTAAATGTAGGATGAATACTCGCAGTCGTTTCTTAAACCGCCACATTTGGACCAACTCATCTCCTCTCTTATGCTCTCTGAATCAACAATGGCTTTTGGACGCACTCTTGTGAGTGATAGTGAAGGCAACTATAGGGGGCACTCAAGCTTTATTTGAAAGAATGGTATGCTTTTGTATTTGTTTGATATCCAACCGGAAACGAACTATCAATATTAAACTATGAGAAAATATGATATCAATGAAGCAGCTTAGTATCATAATTACAAATACTGCAAATTCTTCAGGGCTCGTTTCTTCTTACTGAATACGAGGCAAGCTTTGAGTGATGGAATGGCATTGTATGATTCTAATATGGTCAGATTTTGCATAAGAGTGACACTTTTTTTATGACTATACTGTAAAATGGTCAGCTTAGCCGTGTGTTTTTTATGGTAATAGCTCTTACTTGACAAGAAAGCTTGTAAGTTGTAACATATTATGCAGATCTCTTCTAGTAACGAGGGGAAACAGTTCTGACATAGCAACACACACCATGTTCTTATCTTCAAGCAAGAGGGTTAGCATTACGTTCTTCCGAGTTCGACCCGACACCAACCAAGTTCATTCACCACCAACCAGGATTTCAAAAAACGGTCCGCGACCGCGATTTCGTTCACGATATAGCGGTTTCGCCGCCGTCCGAGTTACCCGCGATGGCCGCAATAGCGCCGGCGACGGCCGCAATCACTGTAAATCCGAAATAACCGAAAACGCGACCGCGATCGAGATTTGAAACCCTACCACCAACTGCTTCCTAGGCTGCTCCCTTCGAGTGTACCAGTTCCATATGAAATGTCAAATGGAACTCTTAACGGCTATGAGGCACTGGATATGATGCTGAAACTGGGAGTCGTCCAAGGTCCTGTAGTCATGCTAACTCCCATGAGTCCAATGGTAATGAACCCCAAAAAACTTCCTCGTGACGGTACGGGCGTCTTCTTGCCCTGGACCATTCAATCACAAAAGCCTACTAAGCATCTTCCGCCCCGTGCCCATAAAGGAAACATGCTCATATTGCCTCTTTCTGTTGAAACAAATGTAGCAGAATCAACTTCCGATCAACGTTAAAACGAATTCTGATATAAGTTAAGCATTGGTTTAAGCGGTTTAAGTACTGTAAGAGTTGGTTTATCTTTTCCCCTTCATTTTTTTCATTTCACTCTTCTCTTTTCCACAACAAAAGTAGGTTCAATCAATTCGTCTGTTGAAATGTCATGGTAGGGCTTTAGAGGTAGCAGAGCTTTTAAAAGTTGGGAGTGTGAATTTGCTCTAATGACAGGGCATTAATTTTATATTAAGTTATTAATCTTCTTTTACAGACAATATTAAATTATGGTTATCTATTTTATATTTCTACCACATGTTTAAAGATAAATGTTGCACATCCGTTCATACACTATATTACAGTAGATTCATTTAGTTTTGAAGTATCCTTCGCGTAACCATTAATGGCCAACAGGTTGAAGTATCCTCCAATGTCTTCCCTTATTCTTCCAAAGATTGAACTGGTGAGCCATACAGATCATACGGTGCCCAAAGATGATCGACGGCGCAAGGCTTCCTCGAGTCGAGCCTCAACCAAGGCTTCCCTTTGCCACTCCAATGTAACAAACTGATAGGCCCGGGATGCAAACTCCTACACTTGCCTTCGATGTTATCTCCCCCTAGTCCATGTTGGTTCCACCTATGGTGAACGGCTTTTATATTCCCAGCTAACACCAACAAAAATGGTGGCAACGAACCCAAGGTATATATCCTCTTCTGCTTTTGCATCGCCATCCACTCTTCCACTTTCGCCGCGTATCCGCCTTGCCTCCACTTATCAACATCCACCACCATGACCCCAGTGTTGAAATAACACGGCTGTCTTCCGTTGAAAGTGCTAGACAATTCCTTGTCCGACCAGAACAAGTCCGTGAAATACTGTTTGAAATTCGCGTGGCAATATTCAGGTGCAGCCAACACTTTACCTTCTAAATCGACTTCCCAGAGTTTTATGATGTCATCCACCACGACGATGTCGGAATCCAAGTATAATACGCGCTTAACATCCGGCGGTAGTATATCGGCGAGGTAAATCCTAGCATAGTTCAAAGGCTGATCGAGTGCTTGACGTATGGATCTCGATATCTTTCCACGAACTCGGTTGGGGTCGAAGCGGTAAACTCTGAAGTTGAGGTAAGGGAAGGTGGTGTTGATGCTTCGGAGCACGTTGGTATCGTACTTCCCGCACAAGAAATGGAATTCCATGTTTTCGGGGCACGTTGAATGCTTGAGGACGGAGAGGACAGCAGCCATGGTGCCCCTGAGGTAGTTTGCGTCCAAAGTCATGGCAATATGGATTGTTTTGGAAGCATTGGAGCTACAATCATCCCCGTTGCGGAACTTCGGGGCCTCCCTGAATGTCGGAATATCGGAGAAAGATTTTCGGATAATGATGCCATGGTGGATTCCGGTGGCCAAGGTGGCGGTGGTGACGAGGAGGAGGAAAGACAGGCGGCCGAAAAGAGGGACGGCCATCCTGTCTTTGAGGGGAAGTTGTGAAAAGGGTGCGGTGTGGGAAGGGAATCAGAGGCCACGAGGCGAGAGGATATCAACCATTTTTGGAAAGACAGCAACGAAGAAATGATTTAAAGTTTTTTTTTTGGTTAAATTTGTTTACATTTTAAAGACATTGGAAGGACAGATTTTGGTAGACAACGAGAGGAAAAGAAGAATCCTCGGAATATTTGGAAACTGCATCAGACAAATCAAATCCATGCTCTTGTTTTTGTATTTGTTTGGTTGACAAAATTTTAAAATTAAATTTCTTTGAAATTATATATAATAAAATTAAATTTATTTAAGACTATATATTATAAAGAGAAAATAACCCCAGTGACCGAAAATTCCTTATAATATACGATTTTGACCAAATTTTTTTCGATTTGTCAAAATGACCAACAAAATCGCAATGCGATCTCTAAATCGCAACGCGATCTCCAGTATCGCAAATCAGTTTCCAGATTCGCAACGCGATTTTGACTATCGCAATGCGAATATGTAAATCGCAACGCGATTCTGACTATCGCAACACGATAATACATAATCGCAATGCGATTCTGACTATCGCAACACGATAATACCTAATCGCAACGCGATTCTGACTATCGCAATGCGATAATACATAATCACAACTCGATTCTGACTATCGCAACGCGATTCTGACTGTCGCAACACTGAATTTCAAATTCGCAACAGATTTTAGTTTCGCAACACAAATGTTTTGGGTATATAACTACGCAGTAGCAACAACTCATAACCTAAATCCCTAAATCGCAATTCATTCCATCTCCATCTATCACTCTCTCCGGCGACATCCGTTCCTATATCTAACGACATCCTTCCCCATCCGGCAACAGGTTTTAGTTTCGCATCTCGTTTGTTTAGTAAATTAATTTACAATAATGAAATCATCTAATGTTGATCATTTTTGGATAGATTTACGTTTTGGAGGGTCATGGGAGAATGTTCATGGTGTTTTACAATATATACCTTTACCCATGAATCTTCAACTAAAACTGTCATTAAAAAAGTTAACTTATGAAACTCTAATGTTACGTGTTGCAAATAAATTGAATTTAGACCCCCTAAGTGGATTTAGGCTATCTTATCAGAGAAAAGGTAAAGTTTATTTGTTAACCGACAATGAAGATGTTGAACGATTCATTGCTTACATTAGTGTTTCGCAAGATGATGTTACATTGTATGTTGTTGAACCTAGAAGTAGTGAAGTTGGGTCAGTAGTGGGTAGTAATCAACTAAGTTTTTCAACCCCAGTTTATGGTGCTCAAAATTTAATGGTTCCACCACAATTTCATCACCAAGCAAATTTTGTTTCACCACATTTCCAATACCAAACACAATCTCAAAACCCACAACCTTTCCCTAATCCAAATCCCAATCAACTTTCAGCACTAAATTCCGGTTTTCGTATTGACCAGTTAGACGATGATGAGCCAACAGAAAAAATTATGAGTACTAGTCAGTATTCGAAATTTGATCTTGGTCAATAACCGGACTTTGATCTTGGTCAATACTCGGATTTTGATGATGTTTCAGAAGAAGAAACAGACCCTGCGTGTAATGATTTTGATATTAGTCTATACCCGAATTTTGATGATGAAACAGTCGCTGCCGAGGAAGATGTTGTTGATGATAATAAGGAGGAAGTTACGACTATGAATGAACATGTTGAACATCCATTCGGTAATTCATATAACCCTGAAGAAGAAAAAGAAGAAGAAGAAATCCCCGAAGAAAAGTCCCCGAAGAAAATGCCACAGGAGTATAACTGGAATATGCCAGAATTACTTCAGATACCGGAAGAAGAGTTGGTAAAGATAGCAGTTGATTGTTACACAAAAATTATTCGTATCAAGAAAGATGATTGTTTTGATACAAATGAAGACTTGAAGATAGTTTTGTATACGAAATGTGTGGAAGATGGCTATCAACTAAAAGTTAACAAATCAAGCAAAGATCGTTTCGAAACAAGGTGTATGATTGACAAAAATTGTACGTGGCGTATGATTGCAAAGAGGATAAAAGATTGCGAAATGTTTCAAGTTAGGACTTTTATTGATAAACATACATGTTCAAGAACCCAAGTTTTTCCTCACCATAGACAGGCAAACAAAAAGGTGTTGGGTGGTTTTCTGGCTGAGTTAATGTTTTTGAATGACATGGTATATCAGGGACATGAAATTATGACCGACATGAATGCTCGGTTCAAGATTAGTATCTCATATTCTCAAGCTTAGAGAGCCAAATGTTATGCCTTGGAATTGTTGAGGGGGTCGACAGAAGCATCGTTTGTCCAACTGCCGGCTTATTGTCACAATTTAAAGCTGAAAAATCCTAGGTCGGTAACTCATATCAAAACAGATAGAGATGGACGTTTTGAGTTACTGTTTATCGCCATTGGTGCTGCGGTTAGTAAATCAATATAATTTTGTTGACTCATTTTTGTTAGTTACATGCATTTCACATTTAAATGATTATATTGCTTGTGTATATTATTTTGTAGATTCGTTTGTTTATTACTTGCATGTGCCCAGTTATTATAGTTGACGGTGCACATTTGAAAGGTCGATACCTTGGAGTAAACTTATTAGCAGTAGTCATGGATGCTAACAATGGGATATTGCCAATAGCTTACGGGGTTGGCAAATCTGAAACCTCTGATTCATGAACATGGTTTATGGGGCATCTTAGGGTTTGTATAGGTCCTATTAGCAATCTGACAATCATATCTGATAGGGCAAACTCAATTGACAACGCTGTTAGAAGGTGTTTCCCAGATGCTTTTCATGGACTTTGTGGTGTTCATTTGTATAGAAATCTAAAATCAAGGTCTGCTGGTATAAAAAATCACAAATGGACATACTGGAAGGCTGTAAAAGCTTATCGGGAAGTGGATTTTAATAAGCATATAAATTGTTTAAGACTTGTTTTGGCTCAGTGTGCTCAAACACTAGAAGATGTCGGGTTTGAAAGATGGTCAAGAGTACATCAACTTGGAGCAAGATATGGTTTCATGACGTCTAATAGTGCAGAATCAATCAACGCTCTAAGTCGTCATTCCCTAAAATTACCCATTACTATGTTAATGGAGTTTTTTCGAGCCTCTATTCAACAGTGGTACTACAAGAAAAGTAACCATGTAGGTATTATTTCTTTAAATTCATAACTTATCATATATTTTACTAAGTATTATTTATTTAAATTTACAGGAACATTAGAACATCGTGTTACACCATGGACTGAAAAAAAGATAACGAAACGTGTTGTGAAGTCAACGTCATGGAGAGTTGAACCATGTTCAAACACTTTGTTTGAAGTACTGGATAATAACTTAAATGGGCTTGTCGATCTAAATGCAAAGACGTGTAGCTGTATGAAATGGCAAACATCTGGTTATTCGTGTGGCCATTTTATAAAAGTTGCTCTTCATCTAAACCAAGATGATTCAAGCGCATACGCTATAGATTGCTACACTACAGAAGTATATCGACAGACTTATGCCGAGATTATCTACCCTATTCCACATCCTTCTAAATGGGACATACCAGATGACTTACAAACAGTTTTGCCACCAGCCATGGACAGAAACCTACCTGGCCGATCAAAAAGTCATGATCGTATACCGTCTAAGGGTGAAGAGAAGAAGAGATCAACATGTAGTCGGTGCAAGGAAAGTGGTCATACAAGGTTGACATGTGGATCACCAGTGCCATCACAATCATCTTTTCCTCTACCAAAATATGGATCCTCATCAAAATCCAAAGCTCATATGGTGTCAAGCAAAAGGCAATCAAAATCGCAATCAAAATCAAAATCTCAATCACAACCGGCTTTACCTTTTGGGACTATTAACTTAGGTGATTTTTAAATGCAAACGCTGTATTATGTGTATTTTATGTGTAAACTTTTAACATTTTCAGTTAGGCATGTATTAGTAACTTGAGTTTGAACATTGCTATGATCTGTTCAGTTGTTATCACTTATTACACATTCATTTGAATATTGCAATGCGAATTTGACTATTATGTGTATTTTATGTGTAAACTTTTAACATTTTCAGTTAGGCATGTATTAGTAACTTGAGTTTGAACATTGCTATGATCTCTTCAGTTGTTATCACTTATTACACATTCATTTGAATATCGCAACGCGAATTTGACTATCGCAACGCAAATTTGACTATCGTAACGCGAATATGACTAGCGCAACACAAAAATCGCAACGCGAATTTGACTATCGCAACGTGAATTTGATTATCGCAATGGGAATTTGACTATCGCAACGAGAAAATCACAAAGCATATTAGACTATCGCAACGCGAATTGACTTTCGCGTTGCGATTTTGGCTTTCGCATTGCGATTTTGACTTTCGCTTTGCGAAAGTGTACCTTCAACAGATCTTTTGCCTTCAATATGATGCAGATTGAAATTAACAAATCAACTTTTACATTTCAATCAATTAAACAAGCACAAATAATAATTATTTACACATCAATTAAACAAATCAACTTTTACAAATCAATTAAACAAGCAAAAAATAATAATAATTCTTATTTTCCTCATCAATTAAACAAATTAGACTTTTAAAAATCAATTAAACAATTAAAAAAAGTGTACCCCAGACAGTTGTTTATGCACCCATACATCAATTTCACGCAGCTCACTTCAGGATTAACCTGCAGAAACCAAACATTTGCTCAAACAACACTTTCTACACATCTAAAACCAACAAATAGCAAATTATTGAATTCTAGGTACTTAACAACACTTGCATTTGACTTACCAATTGTTTATGGACACTTTCATAACGCGGATGCAGGTAGGCAGCGTCTCGCATATATCGCTCTAGCCATAAAATGACAAAACCACAAGCCTACTGCACCTCTATCTCTATCGGTGGGAGGTAGAAACTGTGTACTTCCTATCGTCAAACGCTCCAAGCACATGCATACGAGAGGACCACAATCCCCTCTGGCTTACTGCGTTTGTTGTGGTGCGGTTTCG